TTGTACTTTGATTAGAATTTAAATCATATCGTTGTTGATGATAACGAAGAATATTTTCAAGTAAAATAATTTCTTCTAATAATTCTACTAATTCTCTTAAATATTGTCTTGTTAATTCATCATAATATGATTCAATATTATAATCATAAATAATTTTTGTTAATGTTTTTATTTTAATTAAACGTTGTTTTGGATTAAGTTTTTCAATAATTGTATTAAATAAATGTAAAATTGTTTTTTGAAATGAAATTTTTTGAAATAAATCATTTATATAATTTATTAATGTGATATTTATTTGAATATTTTCCATACATATTGATGATATATCACGACACATACGTTTTAATAATGTTAATGAATGTATATGAACTTTACGATTACCTTGTAAATCATATAAATTTAAACGATGTTCAAATGATTTTGAATAATAAGTACGTGTATATATTAAAAGTATATTTAATAATGTATATAAATATGATTGATGTTGAGGATTTAAATTATTTTCAATCGATGAATAAAAATTTTTTCCTTCAACTGCATGACGATGTCTTAATGAAAGTTCATGTAAACGTTTATTATGAATATATATTGATGATAATTGAATATTTGTTGTTTGTAATAATGCATGAATTAATTGTTGTGGTATTAAATCAATTAATTTTTCAATTGTATTTAAAGCAAATGTTGTACGATTATAATCATATGGTTGTGTATATAATAATATATAAGCTAAATGAGAATCAATTTTACGTAAACGATCAATTGATTCTATTTTTTTTGTTGAATTATTATTTATTTGTAATGAATCGGATTCATTTAAAGATTTTAATGGACTTATTGGTTGTTCAGATATACCATCAACAGTAACAGCATGTGGAATAGGACCAACTGAATGAGGACGACGACTATTATTATTATTATTTAAACTTGAAATTATAGCTGAATTTATTAATTGAGTATCAGTTAATGAATCAGTTTCATTTGTTGTATCTTCATGAAGTGATGTATACATTCGTTGAATATTATTATTACTACTTTTTGTACTATCAGTTTCAATACCACTATTATTACGACTAAAAACTGTTGGCATTGTTGGTGCACGACGTTTAACACATTTTGATGATGCTGTTGGAGATGCTGATCGACTATTGGAAAGACTTGGTTGAGAAAGACTTAAAGTTGGTGGAGGTTTTATTGCATTAGTCTTCATTGGTTGAGGAGATGATTGTTTTATATGATAGACAACTTCACCTGTATCCGTACAGCTTATACCACTTATCTATTTCAAGAAAAAATAATAATTATTATTATTATTATTAATATGTTCCGTATATAAGTGAAGAGCACAATCATTGTATCGTTGTGTCTCAAAAAGAAAACTGTCCATAAGTAAATAATTTGAGAAGTAAAAGAAGTTCGTTTCATAAACTTTGTTTATATAAAAATTTTACATGAAACAAAATAAAATGTGGGAAATTTGATCCATTCTTTCAGCTGATATAATAGAATAATGCTCTGAAAAAATCAAGGAAATATCGTACTCTGTTTGAGAGAAAATTCAGTTTTACCGACAAAGTGTGAAGCGACATTTTTCGAAGTAATTGATAAACTAAGATTGATTGATAGATGAAAATAATACAATGAAATTAGCTCTATATCGAGAACTATTTCACAATATCATCATTTTCATACCTCTATCATATCCAAAAACAAATAACTAAGTGCTATCTTGGCAAGACCTTCAATGAAAGAATGTACTTATCAGTTGTCATCATTCATAATCGCCGAAATGTCTAAGGAATTTCACCATAATAAAAGATATACATGTCAATTCAAATAACGACACAGAGACGTGTTAGGAAAATATTATTTGTATACACATTCAACATTCCTCTATCGAATACAACACTTAGTTTTCTTTTGTTATTAAATTCATTTTTATCAGTTTTTTTTCTCGAACGTTATAATGGCTATGATCTTCATTCATGTATGTATTATAGTGTTTTTATCTAGACTTTTTTTTCCGATGAGGCGATTTAAGACGCCAAGAAAGCGAACACCTATATTTGGAACCACAGGCGCAGAGCACATGTTACAGTGGTCACAAAAAACTACCTATAGTTTAATCTTTTAGTCTCATGGTTCGACCAGAAATAAAACATGTTGAATTCTGATGCCAAGAATTAATCGAAACTTGATCGACCTTCATGCGAAGAGCTTCAAGGCCAACATAGATTTTTTCTTCAGACGAGGATATCACAACATAGAAAACGAATCTCATCACATTAGATTCTTCATTCGAGAACTCAGTACTACATCTATCGTCAAAAAGAATTCTATGTCAAACGGGTTTAATTTGCATCGTTTATGAAATAGTATTCTTTGGGTTATCCTCACATGAGAATCGTTGAAAAGTGACCTATATCTTCGGTCAGTTTTAGCTGTTTGCCTTGAAATTTTCTCTAGTGAATGCTCTGCTCTAATCAAGTTTTCTCTCTAAATTTCACGATCGCAGCCATCGATGACGAAGAGATCCATGCTGAGACCATCTCAAACAGTGGAGGCTTCCTCTCGTCTCAAGATTACAACGGATTGGAATATCCTGTCTGTGATACAATACAGAAGCTCGTTTTGAGCCTTTGTAAAAAAAACAGTGTTTTCAATGTAAATCGTTTGCATTGAGGTCTATCGACTTCGAGTTGCTGCTTGCAGCCAGGATTTACCGAGCTCTATTTGTAGTAAAAATATCAGGCAAAATGATTGAAGTTTATGTATTTTTTACTCTGCAACGAGACTTCTTGTGACTACTGTACAATAATCACAAACTTTGGGAGGAGCGCTGGCCCTTCAGCTCCCCTGTTAGATAAAACACTGATGTGTTGAATTCAAATTCATGATTGTCGAGTTTTTGACACAAACAAATTTCATTAGAACTGATTAAAAAGATGCGAAAAAATTATCATTTTCAATAGAAAAAGGTAACAAAATATATGATCAGTAAAGTAAATAAATGATCAGTTCATCATTTTCATGATCAGCTATTGATGAATCACGTTTATTAATAGACTTAAAGGTCAGTTAATAAAATTTACTAACAGTCAAATAAACTAGTCGGTAAATATAGAAATTGAAATGCGTTATAGTGTGATTCACCTTTATTTTTGTTTGTCGTTATACCATATAATGCAAATACTATGTGCGACATTCATACAAGTACTCTTTGCTCCTATCCTTTCCTTCAATTTTAGCTGAGGGTCCGCAAGCAAAACAATTAGACGTAATGCAAATTACTGAATATGAAAGTGACGTATTTAATGTAAAGATTGTGAAAGAAAATTATGAAATCAATGAAAGTAAATGACGTCGTCAAAAAAAAGACAAATCCAAATGTAGACTCAGTGAGGCTATATTTGAAAATGTTGATAGAGTAGAAACATCAATTGGAAATGAATGTTTAAAGCACTATAGAAATTATTTAGAAAATTGAAGAATAATTCACTACAGATGCAACAGAGCAAACATCGTAGATCCTAAGGAAATTCTTTTCCAGATGTAAAAATCAAAATTTTTTCAATTTTTTAGTTTTTCATTGCTAATATAGCTTCGAAGCTTTCTCTGTCAAATGCTCTCTTTGTTGTTAATTAGTACTTTTATTAAACTGAACTCTCAAAGTCCCTAGCAGAAAAACTCGCGTTGAGGTTATTCTTTAGATTCAAAATTCTCTTAATGGTAACGATTATTTCTCATTCCAAAAGTACTGAGAGCATTGGTCATCACTTTAGTTGGAGAGGAAAAAAACAAGATTAATTGGGCAGAACTGCTTTCGTTTCTTCGACAGAGAACGTTCAATGGAGTTGAAATTTTTCTTTATAAGTACTGAACACTGTTTAGGATACTTAATTGTTTTTGTTTTGAAATAATATTGCACCATTTATTTTTGGCAGATTTTACCAAAAACATGTATTCTTGGGAGTATTCTCAGTATTTTAATCTTTTTATTCTAATGGAAGGAGATTTAAAAGAAGTAGACATCCCAAACAATGTCTAGTATCTGTAAAAAGATAATTTCAGCTCTTGTGGACTTATTTCAGCTGAGAAAGCGAAGCGATTTTGTAGCCTTTGCTACTCAGATATTTCCTAGGAAGCATTTAGAAATTCGAAGTCTATGATAACTTTTGAGCTGAGCACTATAATTAATTGAAATTAAACATCGTATTTCGAACCGAAAATTATTCACATTTTTGTAATAACTTTCAGATATTTTCTACCGGAAACGATAAGAAGGTGATGGACAAAGCCCGAAAAGTTTTCGGTTTGAAATATTGCATCTTAGTTCTATTGATTTTCGATCTGGAATTAGACTCATATACTTTCATTCAAGGAAGAATAAAATATTTTTCAAACTTACTCGTTTTTCATCATCACTTTCTTCTTGTTCAACTTCATCATCATCATAATTTTCATCATCATCATCATCTTCTCCAATATAATCATCATTATTTCTATCATCAATTAATACTGAAAATGTTATTTCATTAATATCACCAACACTTGTATCATCTGTATCATTACTAATATTACTTTCTTGTGCTTGATAATTTGAATTATTTGATAATTGATCAATAGAATTTATTTGTCGATTAGGAAAATATTCTTTATGTGCTACAGGATGAAGTCTTTGTACACTAATACGTGCTGTATCTGGATGTAATAACATAATAAGAAGTATATCAAATATTCGATACATATCTCCTAGACAAAATAAAAAATAATTATAAAAAACAAAACAAAAAGAAAGAATCTCGTTTATTTTTTACCATGAATAAAACAATCATATGTCCATTGTTGTACCATTGATTTTAAACAACGATTATTTGATTCATTAAGAATATTCATAACAATAAGTAAACATCGTTCAAATGTTTTAGTTAAATGTCCATATGTAACTATAGATATATCACGAGTTGAATTCCATAATTTAAAAAAACGTTTATATGCATCAATTATAATTGATTCATTTTCATATTGTTGTATATGTGTTAATGATAATTGATTACATATTAAATCTTCACAATCACCATTTGGTAACATTGAATGAAGCATTGATAATAAACGTGATGCTTTTAAATTATATTGTCGTTCATATTTATCACTTAAATGTTCCCATAAATAAGCAGTTATATGTTGAAAAAAAAGTGTTTCATTTATAAGTAATGATACTTGTTCTTGATTAAATGATGGTATTATTGATATATTTTCTGGTAAGATTAAATTTGTACCGGCTGAAATTTCATTTGAATTATGATCAGATTTTGGATTACAAAGATATAATGTATAACCAAGTAATTCAATTAAAACAGATATGGCAATTGTTTGAATAAAAAAATGACCACTTTCACAAACGGATAATACACATAGATCAATAGACCAATCATCAAAATCATTTTTACCTATAGAATAAAAAACAGTTTCGAATTTTTCAAGATTGAATTTAAATGAAAAGTGTTTTTATGATATTTAGAAGCAAAGGTATAACTCAGCAATGAACGTAGAAGGCACAGAATGAACAAAGGAAAGACGTTCTGTGAACGAACTTTAGAAACAGGGATGTCATGCCCTCTCTCTCCTGTTAAATCCTTATAACGCGTTAAGGATATGAATAATGATTGGAAATGGTTAACATTTATCGAGAACTATTGTAAATCATTCTATATCACAGAAAATCCACAGGAATAAAATTACAGATAAATCTTTGTTTTGTAATGATTTCTTTGATTTTTCAATATTCGTAATGGTTACTCTTGATTTTCTTTCATTTCTAAGCATTTTCAATGATTTCTATCGATTCATGATGAACAGATAAATATAATTTTCTGGGATAGAAATCACAAAATTAGTTTGTTCTTCCTTAATTCTAAGTAAACAGAAAGGTAACTATAGTCGCGATAAACAACTTCAGTTTCTTACTGTTACCCCTAGGTTGTATGTAAATATTTACAATAATTATTTGATCGTAATTCAAGAGAAAAGTATTACGATTGTATACGGCTGTTTTAATATTCGATCCGAGAATGTGTCTTTTGAGATTTTTTTCTTACAAAATTTATTCCATAGTGTCAATGTTAATCGTATGCTAAGATCGTTCGTTTTTCTACAATTAATTAATAATTTTTGCGAGTAAATGGCACTACAAAGTTATATAAAGGATGACTCAAAAGTCACAGGACAGTTTTTAATTGCAAATAACTTTGGATAGAAACAATAAAGAAATCTACAATTTCTACCTTTGAAAAGAGGAGACTATAGTTCTCATAGCGCTTTAAATTCTGAATACACCAGTTTGTTTAATCTTTGTTTTTCAAAACTTTCCTAAAAAATGTTTTTAAATGTTATGGTTCGATGTCTCCTCCAAGTCTCTTCTTTTCAATGATGAAAAAATGCAGTGCTCTTTCTTGTTTCTATCAAAAGTTGTTCGCAGTGAAAAGCTACTCAGTGACTTATGAGCCACCCTCTAGATTCTATATGTATATATATTCGTTGATTGATAAATATCTTTTAATGTCTAGTAAATTTCATTCAAAACTCCATGGAAAATCGAATAGTAGTATAGTGAGAAAATGCATGTAATATTCATTTCTATTATTCCAATCGTGAACAATCATCAATATTTTACTAATTCAATTTGAGATATTTTCTAGTTTATGTTTCATGGATTTTATATAACAAGTGAATATTTCTTTTTATCAAATAGTAGGAATATGAAAAATCATTTTCCTTCTTTTTCCTGAACACTTGTATATACTTTCAGAAAGTTATTTGATAGAGAATTTTTTCTGCTCTATAAAACTATTGTTTTTATTTTTCTAATGATGTTTTCTTGTCCAAAAGATTAACGTCTACTCAATCGTGTAATTGTAACTATTAAAAAAAAACAGCAAGAAAATAGTAACGAAGATTCTGCTGAAACTCCAAAAATGTCACAAAATTTTGCATGTTTTCATAAGTGTTTCAGGATTTTACAAGAACTATTTGCAAGAAAAAATCTTGACATAAAAATGTAAAAAACAATCTAAAACAAAATCTTTCATGACAGGATGATATGATTGCCACTTTTTTTAATTCGACTAGAATGAATTATGCTTACTCATCAACTTAACACTCATACTATTTTGTTAAAAAAAAAAATTCTATATTCGATGGCATGATATTAAACGTTTCGTGCGCTAAGGATTGCGTTAGAAAACAATATTTATCCAACATACATCCAAATGTACCATTATGTGATAGCCCCAAGCCTTTTTCCTCTTCGTAAAGATAGTAGTAACGGCCTTGGGAAGATCGTCAAAGCAGAGAGCATAAAAATTGTTATTTATTAATGCTAAATACTTTACTTGTAGGGACAGTTTTAACGAGCAAAGGTTTATGCAAATCAATGGATATTTGAAAAACAAATGCAGTAAACACTTTGTGTCAATAGAAGGCACCAGAACTTCCAAAAATTTTAGGGTGATCACACACTCATACCATTTCATGATATGATGAACAGAAAAAATATGAATTTATTAATGGATGATAATATTCAAATATCTATTCTCAGACAATATGGCGGTAATAGAATATACAGTAACCATGATCTCATACGTCAACGAAAAATGAAAATGAGTTTTAGAGATTATTCTTAATCATGAGTATTTGATATCTGAAGAAACAGTTTTGATATGTAGACGGGACTTTATCAAGACTAATTTAATAGCATTTGTGAAGCTTTGCTCGAAAAACTAAAATTGTCTGAACACAATAGAATTCCTGGAAACTTCTAATTCGTCATTTGTAGTGATTTCTCTAGGGAGGACTTCTATTTCGTGGAATAGCTTAGTGAAAAATGCTCTATCGAATGACTTTCTGAAAGTATATTTGAGTTAGAGATAGGATCGGCTTGATTTAAAAAAAAAATACAAACCAATCCAATCTCTGATTTGAGTGATCCAAAAAAAAACTGCTTTTGTGCCATTTAATCCATGCTATTCAATAGCTGTCTATCGTTGAATAGATCTATTAATAATAGATAACTTTGAGTGTTATAAAAGAATTTTTATCTCTCATAAATACTTTAAAAAATGAATGAATAGAAAAGAAAAAGTAGAAGAATATTTTAATAATTAAATACCTTTTGATAATGTTGATTGATCTGTGATCGATGATTGTCTTTGAAAACAACAAAATTCAATAAGTAATTTACAACAATCATCAAATGCACGTTTATAATAATCGACATTATCATTTAATTTTAATTGAAATTCATTTTGTGTTTGATAATGATTAAAAAGTGCTAAAATATTTTCATTTGTTTTTTTTTGTGTTATTGAATAAATATTTTGAAATTTTTCATACATTGTTATTTTATTATTATCAATTAAAAATGTTATTATAAAACGATGAAAAAATATTTTATATAATTTAATAGATTTCTCTAAATGATTCATTGATTGTAACATTGTTTTAGTTAATAATGTTGTTGCTTGTTGTTCATTTAATAGTTTTTTATTTTCATTATTTAATTTATTAATTTGTTTTTCAACTTTATGTACCATACGATGAAGAAGATGTTCAATATCATTTAAACATTGTTGTTCATTTATTAAAATTGATTCTTGTGATTGATTTGTACTATTTGTTGGTGTTAATTGATTATTTGTATCAGTTAAATATTCATTATCAGCATAGAATATTTGTTCCGGATTTATATCATCATCATCAGTTTCACTATCAGTTAAATTTTCATCAAATATATTATCTAGTGTTTGATTTTGTTCTGTTAATGATAGCATATCATCACTTGTTGAACGATGAAAAATTGATAAACGACGTGTTGTGTTTGTTGGTACAACTTTTTTTAAAATTTTTAATAAAACTTCAACACATAATGTTATTTGATCAGCTGTAAATTTATTTATATTATTATTCATTGTTTTTATTAGATGATAAAGCATTTCAGGTAAATGTTCCGATTGTATATCAGTTGATGAATCTAATGATGCAATATCAAGTAACATATTTATTATTCCACATAATTGTTCGATTGTTGTTCCGGCTGTTAGAATTATTTGATCTTGTTGTTCAGTTATAATAATATCGAAAGTTTTTGTTAAAAATTCCCATATAAAATAGGGTTCAAATGTATCAAGAAGCATATTTAAAGTTTTTAACGTTTCAGAACGATTATTTTCTTGTTGAACATTCATTGATGTTAATTGTTTAGCTGGTAAATATATTTGTTGATAAACCATTAATAAATAGCTCATTAAAACAGATTCAAGAATATTTGGACCAACATCTGGTTTATCAACTAAAGTAAATATAAGAAATTAGTTTTATAAAATTGCTATTGAATATTTACGATTAGTTTTTTTTTGCTGTGAAAAACAATCGTATCTAGAGTTTTTACTTGTGAAGTAGTAACAAAATAAATAAGTTTCATGATCATTATTGATATCGGTACAATATTACTCAAGGAAATTGATTCTGGCAAAGATGTCAATAATTTTATAAGAAACTATGACTTTCTTTAAATTTAAGAAAGATGTTATTGTCATCCGTTATGCACACAGTCTTAATTGATAGCCTTGTAAAAGGTTGGAAGAGAACAAAACAAAGATTCTCTTAATGCAAATTATTTTTAATTTATGATTATTCAATGGAATATTTATAAGGAGATGGCATGAGTATAAGAATGAGATATCAAATGTTAAAAATACTTGACCTATTAACTAATTACTGAATGCCTCGAGCAAATAAGAATATAATACTTTTATATTCAAAAGACAAATTCTTATAATGTCTTAACATTAGAAAATAATAACTTTAGATTCGAATTCTTTAATCGACTTATTTTATTGAAACGGAATCATTTAGATTCATACCGAGAATAATTAGAACCCGAATTAATTTCATTAATGTCCATGTTGATGGCATTGACTCAGCAATACTTGTTATTAATACACTATTTTCATCTGGTGTCATTGGGTTTGATTTTGGTGTTGTTGATAATGTATTTGAAGATATTGTTTCAAGTGCATGTAATATTGATTGTATTAAATTTTCTTTTGTATATTGAATAAAATAAGATGATGAATCAAATGGATCATTTGTTACAGTTAATGATGTTGTAGATGCATGTATTTCATTTATATGTTGTTGTTGATTTCTATTATCAATTGGTGATTGTTCTGTACCAAGAAACCATGCATATATACGTCGGTTTAATGACATATCGCGTTTTAATAAGACGTGTAATGCAACCGTTATTATTTTCATCATATCAATTTTAGTTAATTGTTTATTATGCATTGGTAAACATATAAGAAGAAAATCAAGTATAGAACGTTGAACTAATGATTGTTCACGATCTTGAAGACATGCACATACACCAGAGACCTATAAGAAAGATAAAAAAATTTTCTTTTTTGATTTAATTTAATTTATTGTTTTTTTACCATTGTTTCAACAGATGAGCCCATTAAATAAAGTTGATCTTCCATAGTTTTTCTTTTATCAAAATGATTTAATATAAATGTTAAAGCTGAATGTCTTGCAGATGCAACTAAATGTATAGCTGACCATATACATGTATGAAAATAAAATTTATCAATTCGATTTGAAAGATTATCAAGTAATGCATATATTCTATCATAATAATCTGCACCTTCTTCTAATGCTGGAAATAATCCAAGTAAAAAACCAGTTAATATTGGATTAAGTGCATCATCTAATGGTAAAAAATATGTTTCATATAATGTTAATAAAACAGGTTTAACAGGTAATGCTGCTGCTGGTAATAATGGAAATAAACCACATGAATATAAAATAATGTCACGTTGTAAATTTCGTTTTCCAATCATACGAAATATTGTTTCATAAACTTCAAGAGTTTTTAAATGAACACCTGATGGTAATGCTGGATGAAGACATTGTGCAAGACGTTTTGATAAAGTTATACGTTTAGGTATAGAAAGAAATTTTGGATAACTTTCAATAGCCTTTTTATATTAATAGAATATTAATAGAAAGAAAAAACAATAAACAGTTAACTACTACTTACTTTTTTAACTTTGACTAGATTTGTTATAAGATCAGCCCATTCAGATGAATATTCAAATTGTTTAAGAACTCTTTCTAATGTTGCAATAAAATTTTTATAACGACTATCATTTAATAAAGCTACTTCATCATTTGGCATTAAACTCATTTTATTTATTGAAAATTATTTTTCTTTAAAATTAATTTCAATTAATTATATATCAAGGTTATCTGTATTTGTCACGTAAGAGTCACGCGCAATATATATATTTATCAGAGTCGTATGGATGGTTAGAACATGCACACCTAAACATTTAACCGTAGTCTAATAAATGGGAGAATCGAACGGTCTACGTCGACGATGAATCATGTGTTATTTAGAGTATTTTATTGGCGAAAGAATTTAACCAATAATAAGACAATGTTGTTAACATCACGTTGAGTTGACTCATATCTTATTGTCAATTTTTTAATGACGTGTATATAAATAAATCTTTTGTTTTTATCTTGTAACTATTACAATCCTGTGTCATTGAAATATTCTTATTAAGAAACAAAAACACGTAAACAATGTTTACTGCTCAAGTTCTACCTACATGGTTTGTATTTTTTAAGTTTATTTCGTTGCTTTTTTTTTAAAAAACCTTTCTTTAGGACGGATCGAGATTCTTGTTTTCGTTGTCATACATCATTTTCAGCATTTACTCGTAAACATCATTGTCGAGCATGTGGAGAAACATTTTGTGCTACTTGTATGTATTTTTATTTTGATTATTTAAATATAAATTTATTTGAATAGGTTCATCTAAATCAAGTCAATTACTCGAATTTGGTATTGAAGATGAAGTTCGAGTTTGTGAATCATGTTATGATCGTTTAACAGCGTAAATTTCCTATTTATCAAAGTTCTGAAAAACGAATAAATAATAATTTTGTTTTTCATCGAATAAATAATAATTTTGTTTTTCATTTGTTTTATAAAGAACTGGTAGTGTGCATTCACAAGCACCATTATCAACAAGTAAACCACAAGGAAAAAATCAAGCTGAATTTGATGAAGAACATGCTCTTCAATTAGCAATATCGTTATCTCAAAGTGAAGCTGAAGAAAAAGAACGTCAAAAGAAATTATTAACTCAACGCTATGCTATGTCAAATATTCAATCTCCTCCAACACCACTAGGTTCAGCACCAATAGCTGATCAGGTATTAAAAATTATATTGATTCTAGAATAAATATCGATATATGAAGGTTGAAATTTATCTAGAACATATGTTTATCTAGTAGCAAAGGTCAAGATTTGTCTTAACCTTCGTTTGTATTTTTATATAACAGGATGATAACGAACAAAAAACTGTCGGTGGTGAATTAGCCAAATATTTAGATCGAAACTATTGGGAAGGACAAGTACAAAAAGATCTTGGAACAACAACAAGAAAAACAGTATGTTTATTTTACAAAAAAATTGAATGAATAACTTTTTTTCTTTTGTATTCTTTAAGGATCCATTAGATAATTATGTGCGTGACGATGAAATTGATGCGTTTATTAGTTCTGCTAATGAACATATAAATAATATTAAATTTCGTATGTTAAGTAATCAACAACGTGGCCGAAATATCACTAATGATACAGCAGTACAATCTGTTTTTTTTACTATTCAACATATATATCCTGAATTACATCGTTTTATAAAGTTACTTGATGATAAACAAGGTTTATATTTATTTCTTTTTTTTAATAATAAAAGCCAAAAGAAATCTATGATCTATTTTAGGTTATTATGAAAGTTTACAAGATAAATTAAGTCAATTGAAAGATGCACGAGAAGCCTTAAATGCATTACGCGATGAACATACTGAAAATAAAAAACGTCAAGCATTTGAACGTGAAAGACAACGTCAAATGCAATTAGCTGTTAAACTTGATGATATGCGTCAAAAGAAACAAGTTAATAATAATAAAAAAAGAAATTCATCATATATTTTTTATTCGATTTAATTAGGCTTATTTGGAATATCAAAGACAAATACATTTACAACGTCTTGCTGAGCAAGAAGCTGAAATGCAAGCACGTCTTGATCAACAACGACGTTATACTCAACAACGTGAACAACAAACTCAAATTGATTATCGTATCAATCAAGTAAAAACTAAAGAGTTTTATTTGTTTTTAGGTTTTTTTAATTTTAATTAGATTCCGTATGTTCAACCATTGTCATCTGTCGGTTATTATCATTATCAACATCCAACGCCTCCTCCCCAATTAACGTCAAATTCATTCTCAATGGGACGTAAGTATATATATATATATACATAAAATGTCAAACGAAGTTTTTGTTATTAACTAAGAATAAATGACGTATTCTTTTTGATTATAGCATTGTCAGATGCTTTACATCAACCTGTTGCGCCGCCATTATCTCAAACTCAACAGCCCTATTCTGTACATCCATCTATGCAATCAAATGAACAAACATTAATTTCATTTGATTAAAGAGACTAAAGTGAAAGAAACATTTTGTTTTTTTTTTGTTTAGCTTTTCTTGTTGTGTAATGTCGATTCTTACTTTGTTATTCATGCCTTTTAATGTCCAATATCGCACAGTGAAATATCTTGTGTTGTAAATTTTAATGCTTTAAAGTATACATGACAAATAACAATTAAATATTATTGAAGAAAAAACCTGTCCGAATATTTATAATCGAATTAGAAATAATGACTATCGAAGATAGTGGAAATATTTCAGATATGATTAAATTAGCTTGATTAAAAATATCTTGAAATGAAAATTATCATCATTAAATAGTAATCACAAGAAATGAGATCTTTTTCTACTAGAAAATAACACGTATGTGTGTCAGAATAATTACAGGGTGTCACACTACAGTGAAACAATTGAATATCTAAGTTATGCTTCAGATCGACCAAACAGGCTCATTTTTTTTACCAAAGATAGAGACATGTTGACACTTCAAATCCATAGGATAAGTTTAGTGAGAACCTTTTTTAAGTACCATTATTGATCTCAACAAAAAAAAAATAAATTACTTTTTCACAGATAGGCAAAAAGCAACATACAGAGTGATGCAAAAGTCACCTTACTAAAAAAATTTAATATCTCCATTACGATTCGAGCAAATGAGCTGATTTTTCTATCAATGATAGGGGCACGTCCACGCTTTATATTCATAAAGACATGCATAGAGAAACCCTTTGTTAAGTATATTGCTTTTTCCTATCTGTGAAAAAGTAATTTATTTTTTTTGTTGAGGTCAATAATGGTACTTAAAAAAGATTCTTACTAAACTTATCTGTATGAATTTGAAGTGTCAACGTGTCTCTATCTTTAGTAAAAAAAATGAGCCCGTTTGGTCGATCCGAAGCGTAACTTAGATATTCAATTGTTTCACTGTAGTGTGACTTTTGCGACACCCTGTAGTTTATGTTTCTTCATTCGAATTGATCTACTACTCTTAAGTAATGGAGCCATTGTAATGTTCATTTATATGATTGTTACGAACATATGATATCGATCTCTTGAAACGTAACGAAATTGAATAATGATGAAATTTTCAGAATATAATTAAGCCAAATTACCCTACACATCTTGAAAATTTCATTAGATTCAAAGCTTCTTTGACAATTTTATAATTGAAACATAGGATCATGATTAGTGCTCGGCGTGACCAAGCTTTCGAGTCATGGTCGGTCTTTCTAGTTTATCGTAAGTCGTGATCTTTTTTCTTAAGCGATGTTTATTGCAATGAAAGTTCGACAAAGACACAAATAAATACAAATGATAAGATTATCAACCAAGAAGAAGAAATCTATGTTCTTAATGAATTTGATTTGGTTCAATGGAATAATAACATATACGTGTGTTTTCGCGTAACTATATATGTACTTTTATTATGTTCTGCGTTTGTTGTGATCTTTTCGTCACAGGAGCAATTAGAACTCAAAATAATTTAAAATTTCACCTGATTCTCATCCACAATTTTAATGTGTCTTAGGAAAACTTAATTTTCGTGAGTCCTAATTTCTCCTGTAACATTTATGTCTAGTTGTTTTGATTCAGAAACAAACAATAAATTATCGCAATAAGCTGAAAATATGAAATTAATTATGTTGTAAAAAACTAATGCAGTCAACACAGACACAGAATATGTGACTATTTTAGTATCCGTGACTATGATAACTGTGTATCACGCTGGACACTGGTCATGATGTAATCACCAAAAATGGACCTCAAGTTTGAGTCTTATATAATACAAAGAACTGAATAACTTAACTCAACTAAAGCTATGAAGGAAAAACTTTCTATAAGGAAGTTATAACTTCCATTACGTGGTATGCATACGAAAAAAGAAAACTTGAAAAATGTAATTTTTCAGAAAGAAAAGGACTTCGTGATGGAATCATATTTTAATCCATTGAGTCCCAAATTATTTCTGCTGTTGAATTAAAGCAGGCTGCTAGATTAGCTTATTTTAGATTCAGAAACACATGACATAAATAACTCGCGTGCGTTTGCATGTAATTTACTCAATGTAAGTTGTATTGAATTTTGTCGTACTCGAATGGAAATTTTAATGACCAAAATTTATTAACAGCAAAGCTTATACAATTCTTTCATGAAATAACAAAAACCAACTTTTGTCTTGTTTCACATAAGTGGAAATACTACAAAAAAATCTGCACTTTATGCTACTAAACCAGGACTTCGCGTGGAATGGGACAATCCCATCTCATAGGATGCAAGAAATATTGCATGAAATCTCATGGGACAAACATCTTTTATAGAATTTTATTAAGAACAGCATAATCGTTTCGAAATCGATATCGTTCTCGACTATTCGAGTTAAACAAGTGAGAAATAATTTGTTTTCCTACTCTATAAGAAAGAGGTCAAGTACTGTAACCATCAGGATTCAATAAAACAAATAACAATGAATTAGCATATTCGGTAACAATACAGTTCGATCTATTGTACTAGTAACAAATGATTTGATTCTGCTTTTACTTAAAATCGATAATATATATTCGAATAATTCGTCGTCTGTCGTTCAATGTCAATCTGAGCAATTTGATTCAATAAGTTTGGTCATTGCTTTGTCTTCTTCTATCATCACCTTATCCTCATCTTTTACTGTTGATTCTCCAT